TGGTTGAAATGTTAGCATTTCTGTATTTTCTCAGAGTGCTGCCAGTGGTTGCAGTGTGGGGAATTTTAATGCTGGGAACAATCCCAAACAATCGGGTCAGTTTGCCAAAGTGGCACAAACCACTGGGAAAACTAGAAGCTTGTAAAACCAAATAATTTTCAAGTTATTGTTTGAGGAGATGGTTTGCCTTGTTGTCTTATCATTTTCATAGATTATTGTGCGTTTTCACGGTTTACTTGGACAAAGGCGCATCTGGAAAAGCTGAACCTACCAGGTCTGCTCCTGGTGTTCCCATCCCGGATTTGATGTTATTACAGATACATTTGCTGGCAGCAGGGAAGGATGAAAAAGATGCCAATGTTAGACTTCTATACATAGCCTAGAAGAGAAAGGATATTGTTTCAAGGGTAGAGTGGTATAGAACTGACTGCCTCGTCGTCGCTGTTTTGACCACATTTCATACACTGATTCCTGTGAGCTTCTAAAATTCCACCGTTAAAGGAGTTAAACATTTGCTTGCAGAATTGCCTGAATGGTGCATCTTACATATACCGCAGTTCAGAACTCTTTTATTCATCTCCAGTTCCCCAACTTTGGACACTTTTAAGATTCAGCTGGACAGGGTGCTGGGTCATCTTGTCTAGACCGGGCGTTTGCCAAGAAAGGTTGGACCAGCTGCTCCTCAACATCCCTCCCAACCTGGGATTCTGTGGTTCTATGGATATCCATTATCTTTGTAACGGCCTTTGCACCTGGCTGCAGAATCTCGGTTAGTTCCCTGCTCTCTTCACTCGGTAGGCAGAAATACTTGCAGCAAACGACAGGAACTCTCTGTATCCAGCTGGTTCAAAGCGTGGTGCTGCTGGTGGGAGCAGTCCCGGGGTGCCTGGGAGGCTCCTGGTGCCGTGCAGCCAGGGGATGTGCAGAGCAGCCCCGTCTCAGTCGCAGGGTGCAGCGACTCCCAGGCTGCCATTAATTGCCACAGCAGTTTGTAGCTAGTTAGAGCATTTGTCACTTCTCCAGTCCGTCAGGGGTAATATATTACTGCAGAAATCCTGTGACAAAATCCTTAATTTGCAACTTTTACATTTTTACCGCTTAATTCGCTTGGAGGTTTTTACCTCGGGAGTACTGTGAATTAACCTTACTGTTTACCTGTGTGCATGTTTCCTATTGTATTAAGAATGCAAAGTGAGAATATGAAAGTTAAACTTATTCCATATCTGTCATTTGGACAATACACACCCATTTCCTTTGGCATCTGTTATTGCTAAGGCATGAAAAATGACGTGTGCCTCTGCCTGCCATGAGGTCCTCTGCGGAGATCAAAACACTTTTATTCAAGCTTATAAGCTTGGATGTAGGCAGAAGCTAATGTGAGTGGTGTAGTCGGGTGGCTGGGATGGATCACCCTGCTGCTACAATAAGAGCTTGTACTCTGATGTCAAATGCTGGCCGGTGTGGACTTGAGAAAAACAAAGCAAATAAGAAAATAATACATGTTGACCCGTTTTGGTGTCTGGGAGCACATATTAGTCAATTTGTAATAGTGTCACTTTCCTGGAGGAGACACTAGCAGTTTAAAATCAGAATATCCATCAACGTGTCTGAATTGTATTATCTGGTCCTTGGTCCTCTTACATCTTACTTCTCTGCCTATTTTATTTGCCCTTGATCTGCCTAGTATGGCTCTAGCTGTTTCTGTTCCTAATGCTGCTTCAGAGTGTGCTTGCAAATGCTGGTCTCTCCTGCTGCTGTTTTATTGAAAGTATGATAGCTACCATACTGTAGATAAAATATTTGGGGTTTAATCATTGGTATTTACCCTTTATCCATAATTCCTGCTTACCATTTACCCATATAATACCTTTGTGCCAGAGATGGCATCCTGGCTATAAGAGCAGCTCTCCATCTAGCTCAAGGCCAAATGCGTAGTGGCTGACCACAGCACGCTTACCGTAACTGTCGTGTTAAAAAAGGGGCTCTATTTTTTCCCTTCACCAGTGGACAGAAGAGAAACTAAGAGCTGACCTCCCAAAAGTAGTAGAAAACTCTGTATCACAAAGAGGACCTGAAATCTGCCCTCCCAAATTCCAAACTGTTTCCTTTCTCCACCCTGGGTCCTCTTTTCTTTAGAAAACCCATGGAAATTACATACTTTGAAGCTGTACATTGCATTAGAGGCTTTTTTCCTCTCTATTGAGAGCCTGGCCACAGCTGTCTCTCTGTCCAAAGATGCTCGGTTCAGCTGTAATCATTATCAACTATAATAAGATTTTTGGCTTCTCCATCCAGGCAATAGAGATTGCATGACCCACACAATAGGTGTAATTATTGTCAGGGTGGGTTGCTGAGCTAGCAGCCTTCCCAACAATTTTAGCCGTTTTTCCAAGCACTTAAATCATGTAGGTCACAGTGTCTTACTATTAAATACTGATTTTTTTAATAATAGTTTTCCAGCAACAATGTGTCACCTGTCCTGGGGAGGGGGTGTGTGTCTTTTTTTCCACTGGACACAATGATTCTTTAATGCAGATAGACCCTTAACTACAGAAATATTGCTGTCATGGGTTCCAGGCCTGAGACCCTTTTGCTTCTGTTTGTCTCTCCACACTGTGGAAAGCTGTGAAGGATTGCGAAGGATCTTCACAACAGCTTCAGATGTGTCTAAATAATGGCTCCATCCAGTATGCAAAAGCCCTTTGGTCTTGACACAATGAAATATATCTTCTCCTGTTCTGCTGTGTCAAAGTGGGAGCCTCTTGAAAGGATACTGTGGAGGGACTGCATAAATTTTCAAGTGACAAATCTTGGAGCTTTGTCTGTGGGTTGGGGTTTTTTTGTGGGTTTTTTTTTTTTTTTGTGTGTGTTTTTTTTTTTTCTTTTCTCTAAATGAATTCTTCAAAGTTGCCACGTTCTTATTGAAGGAGAGGAATCAGAGTCTCTCGTGGGAGATTCGAAGTAGCTGGACTTGGCGTGATGAAGTGCCAGGGAGGGCACAGGTACTTTCCAGGAGCAGCTAAAAACTTTAAATTCTCCTTAGGCGTGATGCCAGGGGGAGAGATTTTTCCCAACAGAGGCACAGGGATGGCTTCCCTTGGTTTCCCGCAGGTGCCCTGCGCTTGGGCGATGCCTTGGCCCTGCCCGCGGAGCAGGGGGATCAGCCTGGGGGTTGTGCTTTTAACAACCGCCTTGCAAACCCTGCCAAGGTGGGCGTTTCAGGAGAGCTGGGTGACTCTGCTCATGGCTTTGGGTTGATTTCATCTAGTTTTGACTGGGGGGGGGGGGGAATAAAAAGAGCATTTAAAAACGTTTAAGGTTTTTGAGCTTACTAGCAATGAGAGTTCCTTTCCCCATTTGAAAATTAAGTTTACTTTTAACAATCAGTATTGTTTTCTAAGTTAAAAAAAAAAAAATCAGGTTGCAATGATTTCAGGTTGTAATAATTGTAAAACAAGGGAGAAAAAAAACATTCTGTGTGACTCAGAGAACAACTTGGGGGTTATTATTCTGTTTTATTCTTTCTCAACCCTTCCTTTTCACCATTTTATTTCTTCCCACCGAAACCAATCTTTTTTTCCCTGGAGTTTTTGGATCAGCTAGCACCAACAGAACTGGCCTGACTTCGGGTAAGCTGAGACTCTGTGTCTCAGCTCCTCTACATCCAAAATAAGGAAAAAATGATCCCGCCTGACTTTGTAAGGTGCCCAGAGGTCTGCAGAAGAGCCACATTTCGCCGTTTTCAAACCACCTGCTGGGTCTCCGCGTTCCAGGGTTTTCCTCCAGGTGTCTGTGTGTCCGCCTCGCCGTGCTTTTGGGGTGATTATCTTCTCCTTGGGCAGGATGGAGGCGGGTAGCGTGTGCTGACGGGGGATAAGCCAGCTCCTCTGCTCTTTCCCTGAGAGCACCTTCCCCGTTACTTCATTTCACAGTACTTTTCAATCTGCATTTTAAAGTATTTCTGCGTATATCTCCTCTGCCCTGCTGTCTTTTAATTAACTCATCCTCACTGATGTTTCCTGTTACGCATCTCGGATACTTTATTATTTAACACACTGTGCAGTATACTGAGGAAGTTGGTATCTAAGATGTCATAAAACATGGAAGTGTTTATCGCTGAGAAACAAAATAATTAAGGTGAAGGTTGTGTTTTCATCTGCCAACGATGACAAGCAGAATGTCACTGGAGATGTGATTTTTTTTTTTTTTTTTTTCCCCTTAAACAAGACATAAAACTGTAAAATGTGAAGTGTGCTAGAAGTCAGTATTCCTTTGGTACAGATGTATTTATCACTATTACTGTGTTGATACTATTTTCACAATGTTTCCTGGCTGTGGATGAGAAGTCCAGTTCACAGACATGTACTTTATCATGAGGTTTCAATTGCTTGGGCCTCTCCATCCCGTTTGGTGATGGGCATTTGAATGCGTAAGGATTCTCTTGAACAATCTTTGCTTTGCCAATATCTCAACTCCTTTGCTGTTCCTCTTCCAGATAAGTTCTTTCAGTGGAAGCGTTTTCCCTCAATATCCTTCAACTGTCAAAATGAAAAACAATCTCAGCTCTTCACTGACATAAAGTTTGTCTAATACGTTGTCAACATCACTTCTGTTTCAGCCTGTTGTTGGGGATTTTTTTAATCAGTTTAAGCTTGTTTGGGTCATTGTTCGTTTGTTGTTTTTATTTTTAAACCCTCTACTGACTAGTTTATTTGTTTATTTTGCTTTTCTATGATATTGGTTTTGCCCATCTGTTTAATCCGTGACCCTACCCAGGCATGCAGACTGTGTGCATCGCAACGAGTGCTCTGTGCAAAAAAATAATTTTACGACTCCCTCAGGAGGCTCGACATGAAGATTAAGTGCTCCGTAAGGGCAGCGATCCGATCGGAGAGTTCCTCTTCCTCCCAGGCTCCCCTTCCAGCCATGTGTATTTCTCGCTGCCTTTCCTGTGCTTTCCAGTGACAGAGTCCTTTTCTTCTTTCTTCTTTCTTAAACAGGTGGGCTCTGCATTGCTCAGTCTCTGAAAATCCCCCAGGATCGCAAGGACAAGACCATCGACTTTGATAAAATTATCAAGCAGCTCCTAGAAACTCCCAATGCCAGGGCCATCGTTATTTTTGCCAATGATGAGGACATAAAGTAAGGATGACTGAGGGAATTAATTCATTTGTGCTTGATAGCCTTGCAGAAAAGAGAAAGCAAATAGGAATACGAATAATGAAGCGGAAATGTCTGTTGGTAAGAGTAGTGTGGGGATGTGGAGTGTACGGAGGTGCTGCTGTTGCTGCCCGGGCTCCCGTGGTGCCCCAGACTGTGCATCACAGTACTGGGGGGACAGGAATGTTTATCAGGGTCTGGAATATTTTCCTGGCATAGGGTTAGCCATGCATTGGATGGCAGACCTGACCTTAACGCTCAAAGAGGCATTTATAAGATGCCCCTCTCTCCAAGCTCATACTGTTATGTATAATTCATTAATTCAGAGTCTATTTTATGTCAAATAATGGTTACTAGTGATAAAATGTCTTGGATGCTTGAGGTTAAATCATGTAGGGTGCTCAAGGTTCAACCACACACCACTTACTCATAAAATAATATAAAGTATATTTTTAAAATGTGGATCATTTCTCACTTGCCCATGTTACATCTTCTTTCTCCAGAATTTTACCTTAAAATTGTGATGGCATCATCAATTGTCAATTGTTGAGAGGCTCAGTTCTACAAAACAAGACACAAAGAAGTTAGGATAAAGTTTCTGTAAAGTCAGTGGCAAAACTTTAAGTGGAATCAGGATTTCAGTCTTAGGACGCAGAGTAAATTAAAATAAAGGTTTGATCTGTGCTGCGTGGGTCGGGATACAGTGCGTTGTGAAATTCCTGTGCTCCGCTGGTTACAGGAATACGCAATTTCTGTTCATTCTGCAGCTGCAACGCACCACTTTCCCCAAGCAGCGATCCGTGCAAATGAAATGAATTTGTGAACAGGTTGTTCTTTCCTGCAGGCAAATCCTCGCGGCCGCCAAGAGGGCAGATCAAGTCGGTCATTTCCTATGGGTGGGCTCGGACACGTGGGGCTCCAAGGTGAGCCCGTTACTTCAGCAGGAGGACGTCGCCGAGGGGGCCATCACCATCCTGCCCAAGCGAGCCACCATAGAGGGTAAGAGCTCTCTTCTGCCTGACTCTCTCTCCCGCTGCCTGGAACACGTGGTTCAAAAGTGATCGCCCCTATGTTTTTCTTGTATGCGTTTTGGGAGTAAATGTGTACAGACATGGTAAGATACAGAGTGTCTAAAGTACGTTGAGGAAGTCTTCACCTCCTGAAATTTTCCTAAATGTCTGTGTTCCGTATCTGAGAAGCTATCAGAAGTTATTTATTAAAGGCACGATTGCAGAGTTTATATTAAGCTGTAGTAATATGACAGGGCCTTTATCACTTAAAATAAACCAAAACCATCTTAACATATCATGAATACATATGGGAAGAGAAAATCTTCTGCAATTTATGCATCAACTCTGAAGCAGTGGGTAAGTTTTCTACTGAAGGAGTAAAACCTCATTTTTAAATCAGCAGTTTCTGTTTAATCTTAGCTTAACTTTTATTTCATTCAGAGCAAGCGTTATATTTATATCTATTGCTGTGTGCTTCACAAATATATGTACTTGTACTTATGCATGTGTATATAAAAATCAGGGGACACTTTTTTTTTTACATAATCCCTGCATTCCTCAAAGTTTCTTTTTTTCCTGACATGTTTGTTGTCTGATCTTTACTCAGTCTGTCATCCCTTTTGTCTGTGTAGATGCTCAACTGTCCAGATAGCTTCCTCTGGGCAAACCAAACTCACTTGATTAGAGTCATGTTCTCTATAATATGAAAAAATAAGTTCTTTCCAAGGGAGACATTGAGTAAAGAAAAATGAACTCATCAGCTGGCACATGGCTTTGTGTCGGGCAAGGTCTCCAAAGAGTCCTTGAACACCTTGCCCACATTAAACTGGGCTCTGGTGTCTTCACTCACAAGAAAACCAAATATTTGCATTTATTTTTACTGTGTCTACATGTCATTAGTTATTCTTCTCAGGTATATAATATGCTTCATCCCTTTAGATTTTTTAAACCCTGGAGGCATTTTCGCATGTTACTTCTTCATAAATACGTAAAGTTGGTAGACAATGAAGTTTTTTGTTTCTGAAAACCAGGATATTTTAATAATCTTTTCATACTGTCTGTATTCATCCCTGAGGGTTTCTGACACAGCAATGAAAACTCTTCCAACAGTACAGAGAAATAAAAACTTTCCAAGTTTGGTTTAATTTTTTTTTCCTTCTATATTACACATTAAACACATTGGACACAGTGGGAGACATGAAGTTTGCTTTTTGACACAGTGATTGGAAATAACAGAGTGGAAGAGCTGAGGTATAGAAAGTCGGTTAAATAACAGTTACAAATACCCGTGTATCTGCCAAAAAACCACGTCCATTTCACCCACAAATATCTTCTTATTCACTGAATATATTAGACTGTTGCCTAAAAGTTGGCTAGTCGCAGTGTGCACTTGTAGTCTCGTAGTTTGCATGATTACTTGTTCGTGATACCTACGTTACGTTTTGCCTATACATATAATTGCTTCCATTCTTCAGGAACAGCTGCCATGCAGCAGATCGGTATTTTGAGGTCCGTGAGTTGCACGTTACTGTCTGGAAAGGGAAAAACACTCAGCCAGAAGTCGGTTCTGTGCATGGTGTGAAAGGAGAGGCAGAGCAAAGCGTCCCAGACCAGCAGTTGCACCCTCAATAACAAACGTTTCCTGGCTGCTCAGGAACGTTCAGGCTGGTTCTTACCTTTCCCCATCCCGTTCATCCATCCCTAATCGCCATCTCTGTCTGCCCTCTGCCTGGCCCTGATCAGAGGAAGGGTAAAGGGCTGGTTAAGAGCACAGAGCAAATTCCCATTCTCCTGAATCAGTTTTCCAGAATTCAGCATTTCCCCTTTCAGACTGGTTCCATTTCCATTTCATCCACTAAGAGAAACATCCAGTGTAATCTGTTGCTTACAGAATTATTAGCATTTCTTTGCTTAGCGAGGCTGCTACCCGTATGGATTGTCTGCCTTTCTTGCATTCAGATCGCAGAATGTTGTTTTGTTTTTCTTTCTGCTGTTGTAGTAATTTCATTTAGTTATGAATCCAAGAGAACTGGAAACAGACATTTTAATGTTATTCTTTTATCATCCAGCAATGAGCATCTGCTTCCTAAAATGTAGTAATGCATTTCTTTCGGTGAAGACATAAAATAAATGAAATAAGAAGCCTTGATTTTCCCTATAAATTGATGGAAACAAACTGAATTAGCAGACTGGAACTCAGTTTGCCCTGAAGGACCGTGTCTTGAGCAGCATCCCCGCCTCGCAGTCTCCTCTTTGCTCAGCGGCGAGCGGCAGTGCTGCCGCCTGCCCCTGTGGCTCGCGGGCTCCAGGTCAAGGCAAGAGTTAAGCACCAGCTTAATTCCCGCTGGGTTTGGTGAGAACTTCCTTATGAGTCATGAATGAGGGGGTTACCCTTATTTTACTCCTCTATAACATCTTTTTTTTTCTTTTTTTTTTTTTTTTTTTTTCCCTGTTACCCCTGTGTTAAATAGTAGTTGTAATATGTTAGAAAAAGATCCCTAACAAACTGCACTGGAAGCAGAGAGCACTGCAGCTCCCACACTTTAACCTGAAATAGCCTCTTCTCATGCCTCAGGGAATATTGTTAGGCAAATAAGCCAAGAAGTGTTAAACTGCATTGAAAATTAATGTGCCTGCATGTTCAAGTGTATACAGTAACTTTGGATTATCAGATTTTTTTATGTCTGTAAAGCCATTGGTCATGTAAATCATAAACTGAAACAGTCATTATATAGAAAAAGACATTTTCTAAATAACTCTTCTCCCCCAGCCATGACTTTTCAAGTTGAAATACAGATGTGAAACACAGGTGTGTTGCTGCGTTTACATCTATCTACCTATATACCATTGGAAGTTCCTATTTTTGGTAACAGTGGGAATATCCCAGCAGCCTCTGACTCCAGAGGGAGTCTAAAGCACTCAGTTTCTTGTAGAATCAGGCCCCAGATACGCAGTTATTTGTCTTGATACTTGATGTCACTCTTGGGACAAAATTTTCCCTGCCACAGTCCCATGGGGTGATTTAGAAAATCATTACATGAACTGAATTTTTCATCTTAAATCAGTTTTAATATAGCCCGATTGTGTTTGATGTAATTATGCCGAAAGGATAAAGTCTCGTCCTATTTGCATAGCTGCAGTAGTCAGTGGGCCAGGGGAAGCACACACTGAAGCAGTAATCCCTTCATGAAAACTTGTGTTTGAAACAAGCTCCACAGCCAACTTAACCAAGTATCAAGGAGGCTGCAAGGTTTGCAACGTTTTCAGGGCAAAAGAGCAGAATGTATTTATTTTTACACACAAGTATGGAAGCAGAATATTGTCTTCTGGTTACCATTACTTTGAATTCTTCCAAAACAAGGTTGTGATGGTGTGTCCTTGTGCTCAGAGAAGATTACTGATACCTCATCCCAGTCCTGAAATCCAGCGTACGCTCAGAGGAACAAGCACTGTGCATTGCATTGCAGAACTGCAAGTACCTGTGCTTATGAGTGTAGGAGTCTCAGTTGTATGCTTTATTCCAAATAGTCTTTTACTCAGAGTATATCCCCGTAACATTTTTGTGAAAAGGTGTAATATAACCACAGAGTGACTCTTAGCACTGAAAGATGAGATAAAAATTAAATAGCTTAAACAACAGACAAAAGATGTGTTTTCTAATTAAAGTTCTAATGGGATGTACTATTATTATTATTACTATTATATTCATTTTACAATAATACAGAAATGATGAACATCTGTGACTCTGCGTGCATCTGACATTCATTAAAACAGCAACACAACGGAAAAAAAAATCTGCAGAAAATCTTTCTTCTCCAAAATGCATTTGGTGGGGTTTTACCTACTGCTTCTCTCTCCAGAAACTCTTATTCTTCTTTATTCACCCGAATAAAAATATAAACTCTGCACACGAGGGAGGTTCCCATATCAGTTTGGTGTTGAAGAACAGAAAGAGTGCCTGACTAGCCACAGGGAGGGTGAAACGCCGCAAAGAGAAGCCAATGTGAGCTGCAGGAGGATTTGGGGCAAGCAAAAGCAGGCTGTTCTGGAGTAACGATGCGATCAGGATTGTGGTAAAAATGGGAGATGTTGAGGCAAGCATAACGAGTTCCCCAAATTTCAAGTGCCAGAGGGAAAATGGAGGCACAGTGGAAAATTAAAAGAAGGGTTGATACTTCAGAAAGCCGGTGTGTGGTGCTACTTGCCTCCAGACTAGCAAAGGACTGGGCCCGCTTGTCTCTTCCTTAGGCAGTGATACTCTAAGGGAAAGTTGTTCATTTTGTTGCATTTTTCATTTGAAGTCCCAGAAGCTTTGTAGACCATCCAAACCAACAAGAAACAAAATACGGAGATGCTGCTTGGATTGTCACGGGTTGGACCATCATTCCATCCGCAGACTTCCCCAAACGATGGCTGGGGTGAACCGCAAGCCTATTTCTTCGTAGAGGGAAATTAACTCCTTCCACACTAATCTTTCGAATCACAAACTGACCTTTAAGTATTCCTTTACTTCTTCGTGTTTCAGTAGATTTAATAAACTTCAGAGCATTTTCTCCTCTTGTTATCACTACTGTACCCAAATCTAATTATCCGTCTTTACTGCCTGGGGTAGCTCTCTTTATTACACCATATAGATGTATATATGAGTTACCTGGATGACCCTTTGATTAAAGATGATAATACTACTAGTCTAGACATCAATTAAAGTTCTCCCTAGCAGGCAAATTAAAAGTCAGGAGTTCCTAAATTCTTTCCCTGGAGGAAAGCAGGTTGTTCTGCCAGTGATAAGAAGATACCTGTGGCACGAGAGATGGAAAAGCTGATCTTTTTGGAGCAGGTTCGTGCGGTACTTGCTGAATTCAATACAGAAAGCTCTTAGTGCGCATCCAGAAGATACTCAAATCTGAGGAATGGAGTCAGGCAGATGGTCTTGGGTTTCAGAATAAGTGTCTTTCCCCTTTTTCATTTTTCTTTCCCATTTTTTCTTCT